TTTTTGTGTTTTGTTTTTCCAGCTTTTTTTTTTTTTTTCTTTTTAAGGCGTATTGAAAGAGCAAATAGATTTGTTAGAAGCCTGGATTCCTTAATGCAGGTGCAGGCCTGGCTGCTGTGACCAAGAAGCAGAGCCAAATCCATGGTTTGTGCTATTCTGCCCCTTGAACAGGCCATCCCAGGCTGGTCGACCCAACTCGGGGTGGGCAGCAGTGGCTTCTGAAGTTACTTCAAGAAGGGTGTGCTTGGAGACAGTAGATTGTGCAGCTGTGTACTTTTCATTTCCCTGGGTAGAACAGTGTCAAGCAAAGGCTTAGAGCCGCATACACCCCGGACAGAGGCCCTGTGTTATAGCTACTGGAAACCGAGGATCTGCAATGAATGCCCTGCACGCTCACTTTCCTCAAAGCACCCATGGCCTCTGGGGCTTAGCCCTCACCAAAATTGAGAGTTGCACTAACACTCTTGTGTCCAAATCAAGAATCAAGGCCTGTGTTCTCTGGTACTCTCTTTGCCTCTTCTTCAGGATCCACTATAAATATAATTGTATGAAATGATTCATTCAATGGAAAACCTAGGTTCACTTTTAAGATTAACTCCCTTTCCCTCAAAGAAAAAGCACAGAGGGAGCTTTTTGAAAGAGATGAGGCATATCTCCTTGCCACAGAGAGAAGGGGCACAATTCTGGTCCTCAAGGATCCTGTGCGAGCAAAGGTGGCACTGGCCTGGCCTTCAACTGTGAGTGGAAATTCAGGTGGCAGAAGACACAGGGCACCAGGGCCTCAGGTCCCCTGGGCAGCAGATTCCTATGTGTCACTGGGAAAGCCATCTCCCCATGTAGATCTTGGTGCTGAATGTAGATAAAGTTCAAGCTAAGGTTGGTCCAGCTCCAGGATTCCCTAACATAGAAGAGGGAGCTGAAAGTGCAGAAATTAAGGTCCTTATTGTATTGCAAGAGAAAGAGAAACTTTCTCATTTTCCTGAGATGTCTATATTCTGGGTAGTACACACCAAAGAGGGTCCTGCCTCCCCATCACAAGCAGGGCAATCCCTGATATGTGTGGAGGGATTTGCAAAGTGAATTCACAAACAACATCAGATTTAATTATCCTGACAGCCTTGACACATAAGCCAAGGGAGTGCCACTGCTTCATTTATGGATGAAGGTATCAAACACTCCTTTTGTGAGTTGTTTTCTTCTCCCCCTACATCGAGATAAATGGGACCTCGAGTGTCCTGGTCAAGTAAAGCCTGAGGACTTGCCCAGAGACAGGCCCATTGAGTGGCAAGGGACGTCAGGGCCAGTGGCTCTGCTGAAGCCCCCTCCATGTGCCGGCCATGAAGCATGTCTGCATTTGATCTCACTTGCTGCTGCTGATGTTAAAAACTTGGCTCCTATCTCCACCACCGTGATTTGGGAGCATCACCACCATTCCTCAAAAATGACAGGAATTACCCACCCCAGGTGCTGGACAGTGGGACAGGATGGCATTGGATCTCCAATGGCAGTAGCAATTATCACAGGGTGGTTCCAGGAAGCCCAGCATCCTCCTCCCACAAACCCCTTCCTGGATGGGCTGTGTGAGCAGCAGAATGACTTCTTCATGGCTTTAGAACAGCTATTCTTATTCATCCCTTCCTAGACCTGATCTGGAGTGCTCCGCATACATCTGGTTGAAATCGCACAACTCTTGGAGGTAGATGCTGTAACTATGGGCATGGTACAGATGAAGAAACCAAGACTCAGAGTGTAAGCTATTTGCTCAAGGTCACACAGCTGTTAAGTAACAGAGCCTGGGTACCCAATCAAGTCTATCTGCTTTACCCCCCAACCCCCACCCAGGTGCAAGATCTGGAGTGCCCTGGCCTAAGAGAGCAAGTGACAGTTCTCTCAAGCGTGTGTGTTGCAGGGGTGGAGGGGCATAATCTAAGTCACAGGATTTGAAGCAGAATTCTAACTGGCTCTTGAGTTCTTTGCTCCAAACTGGTGAAAACAACCAGAAAGCCAATTTCAGTGGAAAAGTCCCCTCAGTAGGGCGCAATCCCCAAAGGCAGAGGCACAAACTCCTAAAAAAGATTCTCGACTGCTCTACCTTAGGGTTGAAGGAGAAAGTGGAGACGACAGCGCTGGGCTGGGAGTGTGATGGGAAGCATTCTTTGTATTTACTCCAGTGGGAGGAAGAGAACGCCTGGGTTCTTGGAAAGCTTTGCAAAGCATGTAGGAAGCAGGCCGAGGATGCGGGAGTGGGGAGAGTGAGGACGGAATTTTGGCTCTGGGCTGGAGCAGGGAGAATAGGGACAAATGTTCCGGTGGCTTTGGCCGGAAGGATCCCAGCGCCCGCTGTCTTTTCTCCTGGGCGGAGGCCAAGGCGTAGGGCCACTACAATGCGCGTTTTCACAGTTGGCGCCTCCATTTGGGCGCCCATTTCGTGCGTGTGGTTGGGAGTAGGTCCTGTGTGTGTGTGTGTGTGTGTCTGCGTGTGTGTGTGTGTGTGTGTGTATGTGAGATCGGGAGTAGGCTCTGGCCTTGAAGTCCCTGATAATTAGGATTTCTGTGTACGGATGAAGTCCGCATGCGAAAAGGAAACTGAGAACGCACGCTGGCTCTCCGCGAATTTTGCGCGCTCCTAGATACGTTTCGAAATTAGCTGGTGTACGTCCCTCCTGAACAGATTCGGAAAGTGAAGGCCTTAGAGGAAGAGGGACTCGTTCAAGGTTACAACGCAAAATAGTGGTAGAGCCAGGACTACGGACCTTTAAGTGTGGAAAGGTTAGAGTCCGAGTTGGAAGGGAGCTCAGGGCTCATGATTCAGCCTAATGTGAAAGAAAGCACCCTTAGATGCGTGGATGTTGGCGACATCCCCCAGCCCCACCCCACACACACATTATTTTGAGAGAGAGGAGTGGATGGGCTACAAGGAGGCTTTTCCTAGACGCCTTCTAGCGGCCTGCACCCAGAGCTCACAGCTGGGGCACGGGGATGGAGGGAAGTGCCTGAAAAAACACTCTTTCGCCAGCGGTGGAGGCTTCCTCGGGTTGGAAAATGGATGCCGTGGCTCTGCTTCAGGCCTCATCGTCTCTTACACTTCCAGAAAGAGGAGACAAATGTGATCTTGGAGACCTCTCAGCTCCTTTCCTGGAGTGGAAGGTGGGAGCAGAGGCCAGAGGTGTAAATCCGATGGTGTTCAGGAAGTCTTGTGGGGTCAGCAGGTCACAGGTGGGGGGGGGGACGCTGTGTCGGGAGGGAAGTTTACAGAACTGACCTCTGTTGGCGTGATTCAGTACTATGCTTCCTAAACTCACCTGTTTTAAAAGAGGAAACTGGGGCAGAAAAGAGGATGATTCAGGATTCCCCTCGGAGCCACCCGTCCTTACTGCCCATCACCACACTATTGTTCCAACAATACTCATAGCCAGACACACACGCCATGGATGGTTCCCTGGGTCACCTCCATGCATCCTTTTTCGAAAGACCCGTCTCCACAAAGGGGAGTTCAATGAGAAGCAGTTATCCGGATAATTCACCACAAGCATCCCTTCACCCAGGTCTCTGATCAAAACTGCCTATTTCTACTGGACAAGTCAACCCTGATTACTCTCTGCTGCCTTCTGCCTATGTAGACGAGACCTGGGACGCGCCCCAGCCTCCACCAGAGCAGTACAGAGAGGGGACCCGTTGCTCCGCCGGCTTCCCCCGAAGCGCCGTGTCCCAAGGCGCCCCGAAGCTGGACCCGGCTCTGGCCAGAGAGCGCCAGGGCCGAGGGCCCAGGAAGGACGCCTGGACGGGCGCTGTCCAAGCGGCCGAGCGACGGCTGCAAGGGCCTCCCCCTCCCTCGCGGCGCCAGCACGCGGCCCCGCCGGGCTCGGCTCCCAGTCGCCTGCCACCAGCCCGCCGGGCACACGCCTGGGGCGGGATGGAGGCTGCGCCAAGGCCGCCGAAGTGCTTTCGGCGGCGCCGAACGACCAGAGAAGCTCCTCCACTCCCCAAAGCTCCATCACCCTCCCCCACTGCCCCACATCTCTTTTTCTCAGACCCAACCCGGGAATATGCCAGAGCTCTCCCTTCTTTATGCATCCCGGGAGCCGGTCTGGAAATAATCCTTTGGGGGTGGGGTGGGGTGATGCTTCAGGCAGACAGAGGTCATCCCAGGGGCATCCCGGACGTACACGTCTACCTATAGCACTGATCACAAGCACTCCTCTATGCGATCGTCTGCCTTCTTCTCGGCCCCCTCCACATCTGCTCATTGTGGGGAGCACATCCTAGTTTTTAGACCCGGATGGGACATTAGAGACCATCTAATCCAACCTTCTGTTGCTACAGACAAGGAAACTGAGGCTCAGAGAGGATGCACTTACCAAGGGCCACAGAGCTACTGCGAGGACGCAATGGGACCAGAACTCAAGTCTCAACAGTACTTTTACATTAACAGTCCAGTGCTTCCGACGGAGTTATCCCCGTCTTTCTGAACTTAATCGCAAATTTGCTTCAGCTCCCAAGGACAGTGAAGACCCCCAAGAAAATGACAGTGGGTAGGAGAAGGAAACAGGAAAAATGGATCCCCACTGCCCCCTAACCTCCACACCATCCCCGTGCCACACTTTCTGCCCAAACCTTTCCCTGTGCTTTGCTCCAAGTTCTCAGGAGAATCCTGGGGCACTTCACCACAAACCTTTGCACCCACACACCCCAATTCCCAGAGCCATTTGCCTCTCCTGCGACGCCGGCCCCCCCTTTCTAGAGCCACCCCCGGCTGCAGCCCGCCCCGAGCGCGCCGCCTGTTTATTCAGCCGGGAGTCCGGCACGCGCCAGGCGCACGCACTGCAACAACAAACCCGGCTGAATGGAGAGTTTGCAAGGAGCGGGCGCAGGGAACCGGCGGGGGAGGGGAGAGGAGGAGGGGGAGTTTAGGGAGTGGGGAGGAGGAGGAGGTAAGAGGAAGGGGGAGTGGGGGCTGCAGCAGCGGGGAGTGGGGGGCGAGGCGGGGCCAGGGCTGCGCGTGGGGCTGGGTGTCCCATTGAAAAGGCAGCCGCACTCCGGCCGCCCAGCACTCTCTCACTTCTGGCCAGGGAACGTGGAAGGCGCACCGACAGGGAGCCGGCCAGGGAGGGCGAGTGAAAGAAGGAAATAAGAAAGAAAGGGGGTTAACAAAATAATAAAAACAGCCTGAGCCACCGGCTGGAGAGACCGGGACCCGGCGCAAGAGAGCGCAGCCCTAGGGGGAGAGGAACGGGAAACTCAGCAGAGCGCGCTCGCCACTGACTTTTGCTTCTTCTGCTTTTTTTTTTTTTTTTTTTTTTAACAAGAAGGCGCTAGCTGCAGCCTCACACGCGAGCGCCACGCGAGGCTCCCGAAGCCAACCCGCGAAGGGAGGAGGGGAGGGGGGAGGAGGAGTGGAGGGAGGAGGAAAAGCATTTGCACCTTCTTTGCTCCCACCCTAAGAAGTCTCCCGGGGATTTTGTATTTTGTTTAACTTCTCTCCGGACTCCCTCTTCATCTCTCGCCTTCTTTCCCTCTCTGTTCGTGCATCCAAGTCCTGTCTGTGTCTCCCTCGTGCGCCCCGCACCTCGCGTCCCGGCTCGCTCCGATTCCGCGACTCCTTGGCCACCGCTGCGCATGGAGAGCTCTGCCAAGATGGAGAGCGGCGGCGCCGGCCAGCAGCCCCAGCCGCAGCCCCAGCAGCCGTTCCTGCCGCCCGCAGCCTGCTTCTTCGCCACCGCGGCAGCGGCGGCGGCGGCGGCAGCGGCGGCGCAGAGCGCGCAGCAGCAGCCGCAGCAGGCGCCGCCGCTGAGCCCCGCGGCCGACGGCCAGCCCTCAGGGGGCGGTCACAAGTCAGCGCCCAAGCAAGTCAAGAGACAGCGCTCGTCCTCGCCCGAACTGATGCGCTGCAAACGCCGGCTCAACTTCAGCGGCTTCGGCTACAGCCTGCCGCAGCAGCAGCCGGCCGCCGTGGCGCGCCGCAACGAGCGCGAGCGCAACCGCGTCAAGCTGGTTAACCTGGGCTTTGCTACCCTTCGTGAGCACGTCCCCAACGGCGCGGCCAACAAGAAGATGAGCAAGGTGGAGACGCTGCGCTCCGCGGTCGAGTACATCCGCGCGCTGCAGCAGCTGCTGGACGAGCACGACGCGGTGAGCGCTGCCTTCCAGGCTGGCGTCCTGTCGCCCACCATCTCCCCCAGCTACTCCAACGACATGAACTCCATGGCTGGCTCGCCGGTCTCATCCTACTCGTCGGACGAGGGCTCTTACGACCCGCTCAGCCCCGAGGAGCAAGAGCTGCTCGACTTCACCAACTGGTTCTGAGGGGCTCGGCCTGCTCAGGCCCTGGTGCGAATGGACTTTGGAAGCAGGTAGGTAGTGTTTTGCAGTAAACAGGGTGTATTTTCTTGTCTTCCTCTTTTTTCCTCCGTCTTAGTGTCTGTAGGAGGGGGACTATCTCCCCCGAGATTGGGGGCGGGGAGTGTTGATTTAAAGGATTTGTTAAAGTTTGTCGATTTCAAATCCTGGTTTGTTAGTTTCAGGATTGGCCTCTGAGAGTGGCTTTGCCCAGGTCTCCAAGGACTGGAGGGTAGGGGTGAGGTGGTGAGAAGCTGGAGAACCGAGTACTGGGACCTGACAAAAGAGGCGCTCTACCTGACGGATCCTCTCCCAAACCTCCATTCCTACCCGCCCCCCCAGCCTCAAAGTTCACACTAACCTCTCCTATTCTTCTCTTTATGATATAGGGCGGCCGCACAACCTGCATCTTTAGTGCTTTCTCGTCAGCGATGTTGGAAGGGAGAGAAAAGAAAAAAAAAGGAGAAGAGAAAAAGGAAGAAGAAGAAGAAAATAAAACCCCAGGCACCCAACCCCAACGCCAACTAAGGGACACACGCCTGAGAAGCAAGGCTCTTAGAAAACAGGGATGCGCTCCGAACAGTATCTTTGCACTCCAATCATTCACGGAGATCTGAAGAGTGACTAGGACCTGAGTCCATGCGCAAAATGCAGCTTGTGTGCAAAAGCACTGGGCTCCTGGCAGAAGGGAGCAGCACACGCCGTATAGAAACTCCCACCCACCACTAACAGGCAGAACTGAAAGCGCTTGCTCGGGGGCCTTCACCTCCCCGCCCTCTCTGAAAGCGTAGTTCTTAGCCCTCTAGAAATGGGTAGGTGTCCTTCGTCTCAGTATCTCCCATCCCAATAAGCTGTGGACAGTCGTCTGCAGTGAAATGATGCTATACTCAGTCCTTTGAAACCCCATCCTTTGGGGCCCCCTCCCCAAGCCCCACTCCCTCACACCATCTTTTCTACGTTTTCATCATAGAATGCTTCCAATCTTTTGTGAATTTTTTTATTATAAGAAAAATCTATTTGTATCTATCCTAACCAGTTTGGGGATATATTAAGATATTTTTGTACATAAGAGAGAAAGAGAGAAAAAATTTATAGAGTTTTGTACAAATGGTTTAAAATGTGTATATCTTGATACTTTAACATGTAATGCTATTACCTCTGCATATTTTAGCTGTGTAGTTCACCTTACAACTGCCATTTTCCCTATGTGGTTTTGTAAAGAACTCTCCTCACAGGGGAGATCAAAAGACCACCAGATGTACTTCAGCACCAATGTGTCTTACTTTATAGAAACTTTGTTAATGTATTAAGGATGTTATTAAATACTGTTCGAGAACAAAGTTTATGCAGCTACTGTCCAAACGCAAAGTGGCAGCCAGTTGGTTTTGCCTTTTGGGAAATTTCTATCACTGCCTTTTTTTTTTTTTTTTTCTTACTGTTTTATTACAAACTTACAAAAAACGTGTATAACCCTGTTTTATACAAACTAGTTTCGTAATAAAACTTTTTTCTTTTTTTACAAATGAAAATAATCAGCTGCCTCCAAGTCTTCTTTGACTCCACTGCCCATGTCCAAGTTATTATGGAAATGCCAAAGGGGGAGAGGGGAGAGGATGGTGCAAAAAAGTGGCAGAAATGACAAAGATAAGAGCTATGATCAGTCCTACCCAAGGTGGCTCTATAATGAATGTAGAAGAAAATATATATGTAGATGGATTTCTTCCCCTTTTGCTGCAAATGTACACATATACCTAGAGAATAGGTGGTGATTAATGGCTGCATCATCTTTTGATAAACTGACTATACATTTTAAACCCCCCCAAAAAACTGAACTGGAAAGAGGGTCCCCACTCGGCTTTGTAACCCTCACCCTCATTCCCGGTTTCTCATTGTGCAACTGTGGAAGGGCTGGATGAGATAAGGACCCTAGGGGTTGGTGGAAGGATGTGGTGCTGGAGGTTGGGCCAGGAGGAGGTAGTCCTCTCCTCCACACTCCCCGGGGGTGGGTGTGTTCCTCTCCTTTCACTTCCAGACACACATTTTCTACTCCTTTTCTCCACTACACACACTTTCCATGTTGATTTTAAGTAAAAGGCATGTATGATGTGAATTCTCTGCAGAAGGAGTTAGATTTAAATAAATAAAAGCCTTAGAAATGTGTGGTCTCTTTGAGACACTGGCCTATCTAAGCTTGTGACTCTATCCGAATGTCGTGAGCTGCGTGTAAAAGTACCCAATTACCAAGATTCAAAAAGAAATTGGTGGGTTTTTGGCTGGCTTGCTTCTTGTCAGTTAGCAAGGACGTGATTAGAATCCTACTCCGCCTCTCTCGGGCTCCTCACTCGCCGCCTGTATTACTTGCAGATTCAGTTTGCGTGTCTCCAGCCAAGCGGAAAGCCGAGCGCAAAATGCATCTTACAAAACGCAACAAAGGACGGGGAGCCAGCACGTCTTCCAGAGTTAAAAATCTAGTCTGTGTTGGTACATCTATACCATTTAGTGGCACAGAATAATCATTTTTTAAAGCCGCGATGCGCGGAGCACGCCACAGCGTCTGATGTCATTTTGCTAAATGACCCTCTATAGAATGCACATTGAGGCTTCAGTCCCTTTCAAAGAGATGAGCGTAATTAAGGGGAAAAAAATCAGTAAATTCTTCATCGCCATAAATAATCGGACTTTCTGCCAGCAGTGGGCCAATTTAGAGCTTACTTGAGGGAAGTAATGCTTTTGTGGTGCCTGCTTTTATTTTTATCTTCTCATTTGGAGGACCAGAGCCGGGCTCTCTCCCCCTCCCCATTTCTTTTTCTTTTAATTTAGCTCCTTTGCAAGTTTCCAGATAAGGTATGCAAAGAAAGTGTAGCAAGTCATTTATGGCTATGAATATAACACTAGGATAATGTTTCAGCCCCCACCAAGGGGATTTTTTTTCCTCTTCTTGTGAAGACAGGTGTTCTTTCACTCACTTCTGAATGGGAAATATCCAGTCTCGTTAAACTCGAGGCAAAGTTAGCCGTTGTTTGCCACAGTGCGAAGGCAAACTCTAAAAATTCACAAAAATACCCACAATTTTGCCGAAGCTAGGAAAGGGCAAAGCAAGGATTGGGCAAAATCTCATTACATCTGCTCTAATCGCTTAGCAACACAAAGCGGGGGCTTGTGCGGCGAGGGGAAGCCATTCACAGCGCTCTGACAGGCCGCATTCAGCCGGCATTAGTCAGCTCCATAAATCACCGCTGCCCATTGGCTGCGCGGCGGCCTTTGGAGCAGCCCTGGGCTGTCGACGAAATACAAAATGTAGACCCCGGCGGCTAGCAGTCACGGCCTCTCTCCCGTCCTGGCCCTCACTCCGCTTTCTTTTGGGGGGGTTGGGGAGGGGAGTGGTGCTGGGGAAGAAAACTGCCTTGACTTTATTGACTGAGAAATCTCACCTGTTCAAAAAACGGCCCCGAGACCACCGAGTTAAGACTGGAGGCTCGCCTGAAATTGACGAGGGAGAGCGGGCGTGCAGGAGAGAAAGCAGAAACAGACCCGCCGCTGGCTGCAGAACTGTCGAATGCGAGTACAGTCAGAGGCTGGGCTGAAGCTACTGGGACACACTTTCACCTCTCCGATACAGCCTTTTAAAATTTTTAAATCGGGAGTAGGAGGGTGTATATGGAGAAGAATCTATCTCAAGTTCACATCAGGCGGGCCCACCAAGGAAGAGAGAAGAAACCAATCTGCCCTCTGCATAGAGCGTCAAAGGAATAGGACTGAGATGTAGTAAGAAGGAGGAAGTAGCATGTGCGTTTCCATTTTGCTGTTCTTGCAGGGCTGGGGATGTTAGAACACAGAATCAACAGCCCGATTCCTTCTGAGCTTAAGTAGTCTCATTTGTAACATGTGGTTGGTGGTACCTACAGCTGCCAGAGGAGACAATGTAAAGGAGTCAGCACATGGCCTTGTGGGGGAGATTACAAGCTATATGTAAATGGGAACACCTGCTGTTGTTATTCTTATCTTCTGGTCCTGTCTTTCATTTTCATGAGGACTGGTCAGTTGATGCTTCTGAATCACAGCCTCGATTTGAGGCTTACCCACAAACCACATAGAAAGAGGTCTGGGAGTAGATGTGGAGTCAAGGTAGGTTTTCCTGGGAAGCCCAAGTCACCTTACCTGGAACGCCACCTTCTGCGAGAAGCTTTCACTGACCACTCTAACTAAAGTAGCTCTCCACTGGCCACAGTCACTCTCTATCCATTAGGCTGTTTCTCCTTCCTGGCATTTACACTGTGCATACGCTTCTTGGCATTTACCACCATGTGACAAAACTGTATCTTTGTCTGTTCATACGATTGCTGTCAATTGCCCCCTACTAGATGGTACACTCCATGAAGACAGGGACTTCGCTTATGTTGTTGACTGGTATTTCCCCAGCCCCGGGGGAGACAGGTGTTTGTTGACTAAATGGATGGTCTGCTCTGTTGAATTGACAGCTGTGGTACCTATTCCTCCCTTCCTCCTTCAGTGCCACTCTTCACTCTTCTCTGCTCTGCTCTGTGTCTCACGAGGCTGATCTCTATGGACTTCATCACTAGGGCAGCCTTGCCCTCTGGCTTCCTGTTGGGTTTGGCCATAGGGAGGCACCAACAGAAGTTTGTGAGGTAGGAGGGGAGGCAGGTTGGGACATTTACATCCCTGCTCCGCACTGCCTGGGCTCAGTTGCTTTGGCAGTGGCTCTGCTCCTTGGTCTAGGCCACAGCTCTTGTCAGGAGGTCTCTCTCCCACAGCAACAGATGTTGCTGAGATGCAGTAACAGCTTCCTCCTCTTGCTCCTTCAGGCCCAGGGCTGGTAACAGCTCCCCCTGGTTAGTAGTCTCTGGGTGCTGCATCATTTTGTTTCCCTTAGCCCCACACACATCTCTGTCTCTCCATCAAATTCTCTTCATTCACCCGTTCCAGTGTGCCATCTGCTCCTGCTGACCCTGGCTGGTACACAGGCCATTCTCCCACAGGATCTCAGGGATGGACTAATTCTGTGTCAGATTTTCAGGGACTCATGGGGCTATCAGTAAGAAACTTCCTAGGGCAGAGGTGAACCGAGCTATATTCAAAACCTAAATCTGGAAAAATCCCTTCATCTTTTTGAGCTGTGAATGACTTACCTGAAAGTTTGCAAAAGAAGTCAATTACAGTTTTCTCTTCCGGAAAATGAGGGTAATACCTTCCCTTGAGAAGATCACCAGAGGAACAGAAAATGAAAGGGCTTCAGAGCTCTCAATCACTATATCAACGCAAGAGACAACGGCTTCTCATGATCTTTCTGACCCAGGTAGAGAGGTGGTGCTGGGGACTTGCCGCCAAGACAACGACCATGCTGCTGCTGAGAAGCCATTCTGCTTTCATTCACCCATTCATTCACTCAGCCTTTTATGCACTCATTTAAAAAGGGAAAGACAAATGATTAAATGCAGTCAACATTTCTAGGACTTAATTGTCTTGATTTGTATCTTTTAGAGCGAGCTCTCGGAAAATCTTGTTTTATTGCAAACTCTTTTCAAAACACTATGGATGTTTCTCTGATGTACTAAGTGCCCTCAACTCTATTTCTCTTCTCCTACTGTTAAGAAGTCTCTCAACTTTTTTCTCCCTCTCTCCACTCCTGGGCCAAGAAAGGATCCGTTTTCGGATTTCCCCAGAAACTCCAGGTTATCCGGAGTCAAAGGTAGGGAGGGAAGAGAATTCGCTGACACTAACGTTCTTTCCCCGCTGCAAAAGCCAAGGGCTGGGCTCTAGCACAGGTTGAAGTTATATTCCTTCTTCCTTTGTATGCAAGATTAGGTTGTTACAAAAGAGGGTGTGTAGGTTAATGGCAGGAAGCAAGTTGCAGCGCTGAGCGCGGGCCCTGAGCGCGTGTCAGGTTTAATGATTTATTCAAGCCACAGCGCATCCGGGCGGTGATTGGCTGCAGGCATGCGTCCGCTGTCAGCTGCGCGCGCCGGGGCCTCGCCCCGCTACCTGACTGCAGGGGTCGGGGTGGCTAGGAGGTGGTGGGATGAGGGGGGCGTGGGCGTTGGCCCGGAGGGGAGAGGTGTGAAAAGGAGGAAGAGGTAGGAGGTGAGAGAGAGGGCAGGAGACAGATGGAGGAAGGGAGAGAGAGAAAAAAGGAGGAGAGAGAGAGATTGGGAGAGGGAGAGAGGAGAGAAGGGAGGGAAGGAGAAAGAAGAGAGAAAAAGAAAAAAAATCGAGGATGTGGTGGGTGAGGAGAGAGAGAAGGAGAGATGGAACGAGAAAGAAGAGGAGAAAAACAAGAGGGAGAGAGACAAAGAAGAAAAGAGAAGAATGAATGAGAGAATAGCGAGAGGTTGGACAGCGGAGTGGGATGCGCTCCCAGAACGCCCCACGTGCGCCCCCCTCCAGGCAGCCTGCAGGCGGCCGCTCACAAAGCCGCCTTTGATGCGCAGGCTACCAGGGCTATTTTGGGGACGAGATGGGGGAAAGGCGCCAACCCACAGTCCTTGAAGGGAGTCACTTTCTGCGAAGTACG